AGCAACTTGATTTATCTCAAAGCTCATTTAAGTTTGGCATTTCAGTGCTAAGCATTCTGACCTCACCTCGTCTTCCAGTTAAGATTCAGAACCTGGAATGCTTTGAATGCTGTACTTTGGAAGAAGCAGGCCCAATCCCTGCACAGCAAAGGATTTAAAACAGAATGAGAAACTGAAATTCCTGGTAAAATAAGCAGCTTTTCACCTGGTACAATAGAAAGGGTACAATATAAGTTGTTTAGCTCTTCGAATTTCATATCAGTATTTTGAATTGGGCCTGGACATAAATCAGCAATACATGCAGATGGTAAAGTTCTAGCCTAATATGATCTCATTTGTCAGTCCACATTAGCAGTTTTGTTGCCCTTTTTCAGAGAAACTGACATTTGAAAGACAGCCCCATGTACAACATATTGCAGTAATACACTGAGTGATTACCAGAGCATAGATAACTTTAGCTAGGCTATCCCTGTGCAGTTAAGGGCATAGCTGGTATTTCATCCTAAGCTGATAAAAGGTGATTGGTTCTACCGAGTCCACCCATGCTTAGTGGCAGTCTTGGATCCAAGAGCATCCCCAAACTATGAACCTGTTTTGTTAGGGAAGTGAAACCCCTTCCAAAACAGGTTGAATAGCACTCATCTGGGGAAGCAAACTATCCACTAATAGTACCTTGTTTGAATTGAATCCTAGTTTATTGGCCCTTATCCAGTCTATTATCATGCCCAGGCACTGATTCAGGACAGCTACTACCTCACCTGGATTTGATGAAAAAGAGGAGTAGAACTGGGTGGTATAATTGATGGCATGTCAGCCTTTACTTCTGGATAACCTTCCCCAGCAGTTTCATGTAGAATGGCAGATAATACTTAGCACCATGAAATTCCATGGTATAACTGCAAAGGCACAGACCAATAATCCCCCAGGGCCATCTTCTGAAATTGGCCTTCTAAGTAGAAGTGGAACTACTGCAATGCAGTGCTTCAAACTCCAGGAGGTAGGCTGCAAACATCCGCAACTGGAACACCAGGAGCAGGAGTGATGGTGGTTCGATAGAAGACTTGGCAAAATGTAGTAGGGCCAGAGGTGAAGGCAAAGTTAGAAACATGCAGGGATATGATACCATTATGGCATGGCAGGACCTGAGACAAAGGTAGAGTCAGGAGCAGGCAGGAATCAAGACATGAGTGAAGGTATTACAGGACTAGAGTCAGAAACCAAACCAAGAATATGAAGCTGCTACCACAAAATGTCATAATGCAAAGCTGTGTGCGAAGCTAGGTAGAGGGAGAAGCTTTTGCACATCCCTTTTCTGATTAAGATAATCCAATATGGTATTTTGCCTTGTTTTCCCCCTCCCTCCTCTAATTCATTAACACACTCCTACTTTGCTTATTTTAGAGTAGTAGTTGTAGTTATGGAATGCAGGTGACACAGTGGTTTAAACTGCTGAGCCACTGGCTTTGCCAGTCGAAATCAGTGGTTTGAATTCACATGAATGGGTGAGCTCCCATTGCTTTGTCCCAGCTTCTGCCAAACTAGCAGTTCGAAAGGATAAAAATATGAGTAGATAAATAGGTACCACTTCGGTGGAATGGTAGCAGCATTCCATGTGCTTTGGCGTTTAGTCATGTTGGCCACACGACCACAGAAACTGTGGACAAATGCTGGCTCCTTGGCTAAGAAATGGAGATGAGCACCACCCCCTAGAGTTAGATATGACTGGACTTAATGTCAAGGGGAAACCTTTACCTTTTTTAGTAGTACTTATATTTCATTTCTGTGCCATCCAATATCCAATATTCAGGTAGTTTACAACTATTCTTACAATGAAATGCGAATACAATAAAAGCAGCATAAATTGTTCAGTACACATTTTAAAACAGAACAAGTTCAGATCTGTTTTTTAACTTAATATAAGTCACTCCCCTGCCCCCCCTTGAACCCCATATTCCATTAAAAGTCTTTAAATGCACTGGCATAGAGGACAGCCTTTACCTAGAACCAAAACACTGACACAGTTGGTACTAAGCAGTCTTCATTGACAAGATCATTCCGTTTTTTTGATGTGGGGGCTAATGAGAAAGCCATCTCAATTTTGGCCAACAGCTGGAAGTGGAACTTGGAAGAAGGTTTCAAATGTTGAACCTGAAGTTTCCGTTGGTCAGTGCTCTAGTTATTGCAGTCCCAAGCTATATATTGCTTCATAGATTGAAACCCGTATGCTGAATCCACCTCTGAAGCATACCTACTCAATTAAGAACTTGGTATACGAACCAAGACCTGCTTGCTGTTGCTTGTAGCCTATGGAGACTAGAGAAGGTGATTCTCTGGACAGGACAGTGACTGACTAGTGCCTTCCCAATAATTATGTTGTAGTTCACCTTCTCCCTGGCCACTTTATTTATATTATAAATTCTGGCTCTGTGGCCATTCTTTCTGGCAAGGCATTTCCATAATTCACCAAGCAAGGCTCCATCGACAGCAGTTGTCCCCACCTCTGGGCATTCCTTAACCCACACCCAAACTGCATCCTTCCCATGATTCTGCACTACAGCTAAAGTATGACAATATGCGACTTAGCACTCTATTTGTGTATTTTGGAAAGGGCTGGGAATGAAGTAATGGCAGAAGAGGCTGTTATTGCTGCTGCAGTGAGAATTACTGTAGGGGCTTTTAGCGATCGTTGCAGTAGCCAGCATGAGCTCTTCCAGCACTCCTGCACGAAGCAAAGTGGCTGTGCTGCACCTCTGTAGTGCAGGTGAATGGAGAAGAGAATTAAGCGCTACAGAAGGCTCTTGTGCTAGGAAGACAGTAGAAGGTTCAGCAATCTGCAGTGAATGGAAATGTCTCTTTTGTCACATAAAGGCTGTGAGCCATGATCAGCCCTCAATACATTCGCTGAATTTAGTATTTGAAAGAGCAACACAGCTTGAAGTGTCCATTATCTGCTCTGCTACTGCTGGATGAATCTGCAGCCATTGCATACACGCGTACCAAGCACAGAGACTGCACAGCACTTAGAAAGAACTTGCCTGCCACTGTTCTACTAGCTAGAATACAATAGGTGAGCCTCACCTCTACACTCCCATTCAAGCTGTGCATACCCCACATAAGCAGACATTCCCTATAAATAGATCTCTGGGAAACCTGAACCATCTAAGTTCCCCCCCTCCCAAATTGCATCTGATAGTATTTTTCATGTAAGCCCACTACCCCCATCAATCTAGTGAAACCTCAAATATATAATCACACACACACAATCATATATATAATCGCATATGTATAATCCACATATGATCACACTCCATTCTCATTCTTCATAGGATATAACATTTATACATGACCCATATAATCTGTATCACTTTAGGGAGCACTGTCTGTATGAGGAAAGCCTATTGGCAGTGAAGTTCCATCTCCTTGTAATGCCTTATCAAGCTAATTAAAATTACTTGCCAGGACTGTTTTCTTGATGACAGGTCTTGTCTGAATAACATGATACTAATTGTGGTTCCACATTATTCAGTTTTGGACAGTTTCTTAGCTATGTCTGCTTATGGAAACAGGAATATAATTAATAGAATATCATATTAACTAGGAGCCACTCCCTGGTGTTGTGTCGTGTTGTGATTGGATTGGATTGGATTGGATTGGATTGGATTTACTTCGTTTTGTGGAAGGGGGAACAGCTGGATAGTGTATAGTGCCAGTGGTGAAGCAAGTCAAGTTTAGGTAGAAACCTTTGCTGTCAGATACCAGTTGGATAGGGAGTGGGACTGAATCTCTGGCTAAAAGAAAGTATGCAAAGGATAGAAGGGAAGCCAGGGAAGATGGAGCCAAAACTCAAAATGCTGCTTGGATAGTCAGAGCATAGAAGGAGAATGGGAATGAACAGCTAATATCAGGTACTTCTGTGGATATCTGAGAGTGTATGTGGTACATGGTTAGGATGATGAGTGAAACCTGCTTCTTGTACAGGCAAAGAAAATATCACACTATCCCCAGAAGAAGCAGAAGACAAAATAAAAACTACAAAAGGAAGGGTGGGGTTTACCATTTTTATTTTATAAAACAAGGGTAACAGGTATCAATCTGCCATTCAATGGGCGAAGAATCAGAAAACATTTTGTTGGGAGCAAGCCCGGGTCAGATATTCCCATAGCACTCTGAGGACCAGTAGTAAAAAATATTGATGTAGCTGGAGAGCAACAGATCATAGGAGAGTAATTTTTTTCATATATAAATAAATAAAGACTCCTAGGGTGTTTCTGCCTGGAGTAGCAAAGTGAGTAAGCTGGAAACAAGCCAAGACAAGCTTTGGAGGAGCTTATCATCCATTAGCAATTTCATGGTCATTTTTGCCCTAGATTTGCACTTTTAATAGGAAAAAGTGCAATTGGAAATTAATTGACTGGAAAGAAAGCATCCAGCCCCCCGTTTTTCCTTTTCTTTTTCCTGGGCCTTCTCATTTTTTAAAAACGTGTTATGTGGCTTTCCTTTTTTATGCATTCCCATTTGTTGGTTGCAGTGCAAAACCAAAGGTCATAATTTTAAAAAAATGCCATGCTTGATTAGTTTATAGTAATCCTGCTATGCAAATATAATGTGAGGACACATCAGTTGTTTGTATTCTTGTTTCTTCAATTACATTTTTATGAGTGTTGGTTTTGGATTTCCATTGGAAAGGTATCTCTGCATGGTTAGCCTTTATTTTCCACAATATAAGAACCCACCAATCCCCTTACTAATGAAAGAAAATGTCCTGATTTAGAGGTGAAGGGAATTTCTTAGTCATCAGTCAATCAAATTATTATGAATATACTCTTATTAAAAGTCCAGGTAATAATAATTTGGCACTAAATTAATATTCGCTATTGAACACAACATGCCGAAGACCTTTACAGAAACAGCACTAATTTTAGATGCTTCATTTCTCATCAGGTACACAATATAGGTTTCTTCTTTCTTCCACTCAAATCTCATTTTCTTCCTCACTATAGATGCGACAGCTTCTTTGCTGACTCTTTGGTTTGTTGTGATGGACTGCTGGCCCATTTGTAAGTTACTTCACCTCACTTAATTCAGCTTGCATATTGCTCCATTTTGCCTTTTCTTTTATGTTATGTGTCATCTTAGAGATTGAATGCTTTTACATGGAAGAATTCAACTGCAGATACAGAACTGTTGAAATCTACATATATGCGGGTATGTGTTTAAAAGAAAAGATCTTTCTTGCATATGACATCTGATCAAAATGCAGTGAATCTTCTGGATTTATCTTGCATCTTATTATCAGAATGGTATATTTTATCACCACAGACATTTTGCAACTCTGCATTTGTTAAGCATTGATATTTTTACTAATCCATATTAATGAAATTATGCAGTGCAAAGTGTAACTTAATTATGGTGAAAAAAGGAGTGATGCATTTGCAAAGTCATCTTAATGTACTTTCCAGGACCTGAGAGGTTACCAGCAGTATTTGTAAATTGCCTACCATTGTGTTAGTAGCGATTAGAATTAAAAACTATTGTAGCTAGCAAGGAAATTCATTTTCATTTTGGAAACTGAGAATAATTATTGACTACAAAATGTCCAGAAAAAGTTGAAAGGAAGAATTAATTTTTGTCCTTTATTCTACCCCTTTCTCTTTTTCTAACAGGCACATCACATCACCCACATACTGTTTTTTCTACTAACAGAAAAATAAAGAATTACCTCCCTCCGCCCCCCCCCCCCCCGTTCATTCTATCATTTCAAGAATGATCAGATAGCTGGACTGCTGATGCTATGAGATTTCCACAGCCCAAAACATTCAGTAAACAGACACCTGAGCTAGACTAAACTGTAAGATGTTTCACGTTTTGGCTACAGCTATACTATAGGGTCGTCTTACACTAGAATTCACCATGGAACTCCATAAGAATTGTTCAAACCAGAATATACCAAAAGTTCATATGCACAGCAAATGCATTTCGATAAGCTTGACATTGGTTGCCATCGCATGGAATTAGTCATGCACTAATCCATGCTGGAGCAAAGATCCTACTTGGTGAGGTACATAACATTAAACTGAAGAACTACAGTAGAGTTTTCTAACTGGGCTTCTGTGCATCTCTCTGTTCCCAGTGTAGTTCCCTTGCTCAGAAAATTCAGTCCTTAATGTTAGGAAACCTTTGGCAGTGGTGTTTGATGTGGCTTAGGGGCTTGCTGTGTGTTGTGTGTGTGAGAGAGAGAGGGAGGGAGGGAAAGAGAGAGAGAGAAAATGGCAATTTAAGACATGTGGACTATTGTACAAGTGGCAGTGTCATCCCTTAACACAGTTACACCATTGGATCTGAGTCATATCTTTTTCTCCAGTCTTTGCATTACTTATACTTTTTTAAGTGTATGAAAGAAGCTTCACAACATTAAAGTTTATTTTGTACATTATCAGGTCCAGCTGTTGCCTTGAATGGGAATTTAGTGGGTACAGAATAAAAACTGCCACAGGGTACTAGGTGGGCTAGGAAGTGCTTAACACATTAGAAAGACAAGAGGAAGGTTAATGGGACTTTTTCCATTAAAAGTTAGATGTAGCAACAAATATGCAGCCAATGACTCTCACTCCAATTGCACCAGTTCCCTCCATTTCATTTTATACTCTGCTTCTTTTATTTTACCAGTTCCCCGCCAAACATCCTATACAGTTGGCACAAACGAACATAATGGAAGAATGTATGAGTTAGAGTATAAACTTTGGCTATAAACTTAGAAGAACTTTTTAAAAGACGGTAACCAAAAACTTGGCAATCTTGAGTAAAGTACAATGGATGGGACAACTAGAAAAATATAGGGTAGTTGTAGTAAGAGCCAGCTGTGTGTATACTAAAAGTCCCAATCCCTTCCAGTCTGTTGATGGGGTGAAACTGGGAAAGCAACTCAGTGTCATGATGGACACTGGACCATGATGGACCATGTCTGTTGGCTTTCTCTTGTACCAAGTGCTGCCACTAAATGACTGGGGTCAGAGGTACCAGTTCTGAAGTACTACTGAAAAGTTGCTTTCATTTTCAGTAGAGGATGACATATGATTGACATTGAATCTGTGTCCATATGTTTCAGAACTTGAGACAACTAGTAATAGTAAAATTGAAATTTGGATCTGTTTCTGTGTGGCAAACAGTTTTAAATATGAGTACCAAATTTGACATTCATAAGTACTCCATTTCATTTTATACTCTGCTTCTTTTATTTTACCAGCACTGAAGTTTTTGTCAAATGTTCAGCAAATATTTATTTATTATTTATTTGAAACTTTTATATGCCTTCCTTTATGCATGGCATCTCAGGGCAGCTTACAATCATTAAAATAAAACAATATGTAAGATATGCATGGCCTTCACTTAGCTATGCTACTGAAAGGAAACGCAGACACACAACTCTTACGAAGAGCATCAAATTTAAGTGTGTCTCCTTTTACAGAAAAAGATGTCACTGCTGTGGACACTTACTGGTAGTCAGGCATATTAGAGTATTTTCATCATAAATTGTTCTATTCGTTTTAATGTATTCCATTTCCACTTAATGACTGGCAAACATAATTTAATTAAAGGGGGTTAATTCATGAATAATGGAAGAAATATAAATCTGTGCAGGCAGCCTTGTCTGATCCTCTGTGTGCTGCAACAAAATTTATTTCCATATATAGTTAGTTTCATAGGGATGGCTTTGCCAGTCTGTGTTGGTTAATTTGGCTTGTTCTTTAGATGTCAGATCATAGAAGAAAAGGACCCATTCTTTCTGTAAGGTAAATTAATCTTCTTTAAGATCAAATCATTGAGTACTGGAAGTGACTTTTTGCAATATTTGTGCCAGTTGATACTAGTAGAAAAAACATATAGCATAGAATTTCTAAAAGTATATAAGTTCACATGTAGATGGGTGGAGAAATTCCATGATTAAATGCTCCACTCAAAATGTAGTCTCAATGTAGAGCTCCATGAAGTTATTGTGATTGAATGCTTGGCAGAGTTCGACTTACAGATCACCAGGAACATTTTTCATTTGTTTGTTTATTTTATTCAGTTGCTTAAATGCCTTTTTTATTAAAGTGAAATACAAGTTGTAATTAGCCAGCTTTAGATTTTTCTTAATCTTTGATTTTTTTCTTATGTGTATTGTTCAGTAATATCTCTCTTGACCTGTTTTAAAATAAATGAAATAAATATCAACTTTCTAGGAAACAAATTGAGAGTCTCCATTCCATATAGAAAGTAAGCATGTCAGAGATATATGTCTTAGCCATTTCACAGTGAAGTAATGCACTTTGGGAAGGCTCTGACAAATGCTTTTTTTGGCTTTGCTCAGTTTCATGGTAGAGCCTTTTGTCAAATGTTGTGGAGTTCTATCTGAAGAATACTTAGAAACACCAGTTGACTTAGAACATGGCAGCATGGGGGTTTTATTTATTGTTTTATTTTGGTGATCTTATTTCACCAAAGTGGCATTGAAGAACATCTAACAATAAACTGCCTTGTTTCATTGACCATAAAATCCTAAAGAGCCTGGGCCCTGCCTGAAGGACAGATTCTTCAAGCTAAATCTGCTCATATTTTATTATTTTTCTCCTAGTTCTCATGGGTTTTCTTCCCTGCTTCTGCCTTTTTGTGGTTGCTGCAATTACTGTTTAAGCTTTTTCTGTTTATATGTTGGGTTGCAATGGAAATAAAGAGGCCATCCCCACACATGCCCCTGAAATGGAAAAAAATCATATACTATGTCAAAACATTAGTTACATGAAACATTTAAATTCATGAATTTAGAATTTAAAAAATAACCCAAGCAAGTACCCAAAAGTCTTTCTAAATGATGACAAAAAGCAGCTAATGAGTAGTGCCATCAAAGTTCACGAACAAGAGTTTGTGATGGGAAAAGGCATCTTTGGATCTGTTTTATGTGATATATTGAAGATATACACCATTCTGAGTAACTACATGATAAAATTACTCTGAAAATCATTGTCATGTAGGAAACCGCTATCTGCTCTATCAGCACACACTTGCATTCCTTTACCAATGACGTGTTAAGTTCTTCCAGATCCAACACTGGCTTATTCGAGGGTCGTCATATTATTGTCTCCTTTAAAGGATAACTTCCTACTTTCTCCTATTATGAGTGCTTTAAAACAGAGGTCCCCTGGTGCTAATAATAAAAGGGCATTATGCCCTTTCTTTCCAAACATTTTTTTTTCTGGATTCCATGTAAAATTCTATGAGGAGGCAATGCAGTTCCATAATAATTGCATCTGAAATCACCCAATGACGGTAAATCTCAGTGCGAAGTGATCACACCATGACAAAGGAAATGTGATAAAATCTCCCACTTTTAGAATTTTGAATCATTATCTCAGTTTATACTGTGCATTATATTTTATCTTTACATTGTAGACAAAGAGCATTTCTCTTAATCATTAGGTAAGAATAAAAATTTGTAAAATGATACTTTGTTTTCAGAACAAAAAATAGTACTTTACAGGAAGATTTGTCAAGTTCAGAATATTAATATAGGGATACTGAGCGGCCTTACTTGTAAACAAGTTAATCCCTGATTCATCTAAACTTAAGCACTTAAGAGGTGGAACTACACATTATACCAGCAGGCACCAGTTTCCAAAACATGCTTTCCAAGCTAGCATGAATCCAGGGATGGAGAGGGGAAATTAGGAAAAAATGCTCAAAGTGCTATTGATCTATTCCAGTTCTTTCCTACCTTTCCTAGGGCATGCCATTTTCCTGTAACATGGAAACTTTCTGATTTTGATCCAGATTGAAGCATACTTATTTGACAAATTGCAATGAATGGGACTTGAGTTAATTTTAACTGGATTAAGTTACATTGATTTCATTGGGTCAGCTTTCAAAATAGTTAAGGTTGGATCCCACATATTGCTTCATAATTCTTCTCAAGGGAAAATTCATTTGTTATTAAGCATTTGCAGAGTGAATTGAAAGTGCATAAAGGTCAAAGAACCTTTCTACCAAGATATTATCCATTGTGAATGTTCTACTGATTCCC